GCCATCCGAAGAGCGCCGGCCAGTCACGTCTATCTTGATAAGATCTGCAGGAACTTAGTTGTTTTGAAAGACAAGAAAAGCGAGGCGTTCATACCTGTTGACCATGGGGCTAGTCGTCATGGGATGAGAAAGATGCCTATATGGCTAGGGGATGGATTTTTTGTGGTCGCAGCAATGGTCGGAAAAGTACAGGAGTAGCTAGGAATGGAGAAGTCTCAATTATATAGGAAGATTCTGAGCTATTATGGAAAGATATAGGAAAAAACGTGCAGTAGAAACGTGCTTAGATAGCTTATGAACGCTGGGATAACGCAGCAGTTGGTCTTGGATTCGTTTGTCCGTATTTTCAATCAGGTAAATGAAAGTATTTTCGATTTGGAATGAACTATGCTAAGTTTTTTAGAGCAATGAAAAAATCTGATGTGTCTGATTTTCAGTTGTTTTAAACATGCATGTTATATAACTATTAGAAAATGAAATAGAACGAAGGAGTGTGAATAATTTAGTGGAAAGAACAAATAACGAACTGGAAAATAGTGAAATAAACAGCTGAAAAAATGTGAAAAAAAATAGTAAACATTACACGACAGATATAAATTTATACGAAGAATAAAATAGCGAATCATAAAAATGGCGATAGACTTATAACAAGAAACTAAAACGCCCATCGTGTGAAATGAAAAGGTCTAAAAATGTTGCTTCAGCATTGTCGACTAGCAAGATAAGAATATTTGATTGCAAAGAGATTTAATTGATACCTCAACAAGTTGTTTCCAGGTTGTCAAGGTTATGAGCGGAATTAACGTGATGCATGAGAAAGCGAACTGAAAGGTTCCCCATTGCGGTTAGCCGAATTTTTGAGGAGGTGGAGAAATTTTTGAGAATTATCAAACAAAAGAATAAATCAGTTGTTGAAGATTTCGCCAAAAAAAAGGCAATATCCATAGTGAGACAAAGATTGAATTCAGATTAGAACATTCCTGTCGGTGGATATCGAGAAAAAGAGGCGATGACTTATATCACCAAATGGGAGCTTATGAATTGTTTGTGTAAGATGAAACGATAATATGTAGTACTCTCTGAAACTATGTATCACCGATCGGGGTGTGTGTTTTCAAGAACAAGGTGATACATAACTGATGGCTTGAGCATTCATTAGTGATGTTTGGGACAGTATCGATCTTTTGAGTTCATTATACATTTTCGCTATGTTTATATGACCGACATTTTTTCATTCGCCTTAATTACTTTCGACATTTGATTGTCGCCATTTTTCATGTCTATATTTTATTTTTCGCAATTTTATTTTCGCCATTTTGATACATATGACATTTATTGTCGCTAATGTCTGTGTCATTTTATGAATACCAGCAAAAATATCTGCATAGGTGTTAAACATTTATGCAAAGGATTTCTGATTCTTTTCAGAAGAATCTTCCTTTTTTTCGAAAAGTATGCGAATATCGGAAATATAGTGCGACTACAAGCTCAGGTTATTTTTTATTACTTGTGTAACCTTTTTTAATTTTAATTTTAATTCCTTCTATTTTTAACACAGGTTATTTTCTTTTACCTCCTATAGCAATTTTTATTCTCCTACAAAATAAAACACACGTATAGGCAAGAGGTCACATAACAATGAACATAGCTTCCTATACCTTTTATACCTCCCTACACCTCCTATATCGGTTATATCTGCTATATCTCATATACCTCCTATATCTTCTATATCTTCTATATCTCCTATATCTTCTATACCTCTATACTTCCTATCCCTCTCTACCTTTTATACCTCTCTACTTCCTATATCTCTCTACCTCCTATATCTCTCTATACGTCTAACCCTAGGACATAGATGAGTTTCCGGAGATATTCTCCGAAGACATGTAATCGAGGGCGTATACAGATCTTTATTTAAGTCTCGGCGCGTGGTGGTCGAAAAGACCACCCGAAGAGCGCCGACAAGACACGTGTTACTGCGAAGTTGTAATTTACGCGGCTTTGACCGTATGAGCGAGTGCATCCACCCCTTTACGTACGTCTCAAGGAGGGGTATCCTGAAGAATAACGAGTAAGGATTCGGATTGTTATACTGGGACAGGATAATAGATGAGAGTTGCAGGTGGATATGATTAGCTAACGGTCACCTTCCCATTGGATGGTTTGAAATTGGAAAAGTGGAAGAAAATTGTTTGTGGAATTGAAGTATTTTATGAATGAATTAAGAAACATGTTGTAAGCTTTGGGATAGCTTAGGTAGGGGTGTTATAATTCCAATTTTCCTTTCGTGATACACATATAAAGTAGATTTATGGGGCAATTTCATAATAAGGTATGGTTTGGAATCTGGTTAAGTTACAATTTTACGTATGAAAGATTATTAGCTAATGTAATGTGTATTCGCTATGAAAATAAAACTTGATTACTTGAGCGATAGAACTGTCTTTGGATTAGTGGTAAATTTGAAATAAGACATATTTTTATCATGGAAACCGAAAACACTCAGAGGCATACCGACGTAAAAGGAAAAAGGGATTATTTTTTTCGGACAAGGCGGCTATTCGTTTGAAGTCTGAGAAACCTGTACGGGTTATGAGTTTCCTTAAATGAGTTTCTCTTTCATTTCAATATGAATATCATTGAGTACTCAATCTGTGCGAACAAGGTCAGTGGCATATGTAAAAAATCTTTTCCCTATTTAATAAGAGTACTGTTTTGGATCGATGAGTTTATATCTGCACGATATTTAAGGTATGTATATAAACTTTCTCATACCCTTTTTCTTTACTAGTTCGATAGATGCCCAGGTTGCAACATTTTGATATGTCATTCATACGAACTTTTTCTCATGCTGTTTCGCTACCGAAACATGGAAGGGTGTTTTCATTTATAGTCGAACTGCAATTAGATAATGATTGTAATTTAGTGTGCGATGAAGGTTAACTAAAAGGTGGACCATCGTAAATTATGACTTGTGTGACCGAAGATACATAAAAAACAACTGTTATATTTTATGTATTCCAGTTGCTTTTATTGAAGATCGATTGATTTTATTAGTCATAATAAGCGATTGCTATCTATTACTTGATTCATGTCTTCCTTGAATGCACTGCTGATCTGAGATAACTGCTCTTGGTAAGGATTTATATGTTGAAAGCAGTTATTATAGAGACAGTGAACAAAGGAATAAGATAGCATCTCTTTAACTTTGACTTCAGCGGGCTAAAATTCCTGACTGAGCAAATTTGATATTTTTCTGTTCTGCTGTAAGGCAGCATCCTAAGTTTAATTCCCAGTCTTAACCAACTTTCAAGTTATTCAACCTATTTAGTTTTTCTTCAAATGCACTACTTTTTCTATTTTTAAAATGGTTTTTGAAAACGGGATCATTCAACAAGTGACATCATCCAAGGAAAAACGTTTTATTCTTGAATATGCTACGTAGTAGCACATTCCAGTTCTCCTTGGTATCTAGGTACATACATTCTGGAAGAATAATATGGCTTCATATGACAAGAACTTTGGTTTCATATCAGAGTTTCTTTACAAAAAAATTTAATACAAACCTTTTTATTGTTTTACATTTTGTGATATCAAAGTGGAAAATATATTATAAGATCACTAATTTTAACTGATCAGCGTAGCGTAAGATGTATATTTCATTTATTCTACTTAGATTTGAAATGTTTTTTTCACAAAATATTTCAATTTAATATATCTGACATATAGATGAAAATTTTTTTAATGTTCTTATGATTAAACAAAATTCAAAAATAACATCTGATAATATAATCAACAAATTATATAAAATAAGATATTATATAAAATAAGATATTATCATGAGAATTAGCTTTCGTAATTGTTCTCACCATGGTCACTAAGGTCAATGTACTCATTATCAGTTTCTAAGTTGTTTTCATAAGTTTCACTTTCTTGTGCCAATGTTTCAAATATACAACAACTTTGCAAAGATTGCTGATGTTTGACTTCAGATTCAAGAACAGTCTCCAGAATAAGACCTTGTTGAGTTGGATTTTGGCTTAGTTTGTCACAGTTCTTTAAATGGAATAGCAAAATTGTAAATAGAGCCGATGTTGGATAAGAAAAGTTTCGCAAAACAACTTTGAATTTTGTTAAATCGGAAAAAGTTTGTTCTGCTATACTGGTGTTGATTCCAATGAAATACTTTCTATTTTGTTCAGAATCTGGATTGAATACAGTTTTGCACAGATCACCTTTATGTACTGTATTATGAAACCGATCACAAACTAAGATCATATTCATCAATTCTTGAGTGTAAGCCGTATTTTTCATATGTTCACCTCCAAATCGATACATCCAAAATTTATGAAGTTGACAAGCAGCATCATATACAAGAAGTGATGGTAATTTACCTCCAAGTTTCATCATAGTCAATAAATGATCGGTTATCTTTCGTGGTCCTTCATGATTCACTGAATCAGAAAATCCAACAATGATACCACAATTAAGAAATGATGCGATGAACCCCATTGACTTCTTTTTTTGTTCGAAGCGTTCTTCTATATCGCTTCGACCAACATTGCATTGTGATTCTTCACGATTAAGGTGTTTCAGATAGACTAAGTATCTTTTAAGTTCTTCATCAGATAATTTACTATAGGTCGATTGTTCTTCATTGCATTTCATTCGATGATGATCACAGTAATACATAGCATAATCTACAATAATAAAAGAGAAAAATATATTTAAATTAATCATCAAATCCTACACCTCCATGTAATTTCTCTTATTTACAATATCATCCAACTTTTTCACTACAAAATATCTTATTGCAAAATTACAAAATGCGATTCTAATTTGTTTTTCTCCAGTACACTTTCGTAATTATTTTCATCTGTGGAGTACGGTATATATTTTGAATCAACTCATCCTTCAACAAGAATGTTGTATTCAAATCAAAGCGTTTATCAAACAATTATTTTAAGTAACACCCTATGTGTAAGAAAAGCGATCTTATAGAACATTTTCAAATATGCACTCACTTCGTTCTAAGAAGTATTTCTACTCTGCACTGAACTGTTTCAGAATTGTCTGTAATACTAAAGGAATCCTTCATATGTGTAAACTGCTTGCCTATAGAAACTGAATGCGTCTCAAATCAATTCTGTTTTAAATCGTGTTATCACTCTGAGTCGAACTATCGCTATATACCCGCTTACAAGCAATGACCCTAGCAAAGCTCACTTTAAACTTTTGAATAGGCATCATTGGTGATTAATCCACTACTCAGCTATGTAAAGTACGCATTTTCTTTTGATTAATCGTATAATGGAGTACAATAATCACTACTGTTATCATCTATGTAATAAAAGCTGGACATTATTAAAACAAATCTTCAATAAATCCGTCATTGAATTAATCAATTTTTTTCAATTGAACAGATTTTCCCTCTTTATTCAGTTTAGGATGTTACTACTATTATCATACCTACACTGAAGCTTTAAACATTATTTGTTCTTACAATTGTATTTCTTTTCAATATTTGCATTCAGCTATTTTCTTCTCAAACCTCATCCTCAGCAAGGAGTAAAGAACCTAGACACATTAATGATATTTTTTTCGAAAGTATTTGTTTTTGAATATATTAATATAAAATGAATCTTTCACCGATAAATACTTAGAGATGGAAAAAAAAATGAGTTATATAGTTAGTTGAGAAACTTAACCATATAACTAAACATAATTTAAAAGGTATTCAAAATATCTAAGTAATAATTGATGTAATCCTCATATCACTACCTGAGGTCCATACGGACCCCAAACAATTTCTACTTTACATTATGTGCACACAGAACTAGGTTCAACTGTATTTTCATAGATATGCATCAGGAAACGTCAGTAGAGTACATGAATAACATCAGTTAATCCAACTCAATCATTGTTAATATGGTATAGCAACTCAAGATATAAATGAACGCTTCTTCACCATCTAGAGTTTGCTTGGACCTAGTGATTTTTAGATTAGTATCATGCATGTATTATACAATGTCGAACGATTATATCCTAAGACATATCTCGGCAAAGGTTGGTAGAGTGCAAAAATTATAGCACTCAACTGCATCCAGTATCCATTGAAGTTATAAAGCAATAAACGCATAAATGAATGCTAGATGTGAGATACAATTGTTCGAAATATTTTGAAAAAGGTAACAGTAAGAAAGCGAAAAAAGGATTTAGAAAATGGGTCGAATAGATAGATTTTTGTGGTCTTTGTACAGTGAATCACCCCCTGGGGTGTTCATAATTTCGTTAAAACCGAATAATTACTTCTTCTACTGTTTCTTTATTCACATTGAATCCATCCGAACTCCAAGTAGGCACTTGCATATTATTCTATAGGTGGTGATGTGAAGATTAAATAACAATATAAAAGTAAATTCAGTATTATTTGAAACTGAAGCAAAAGAAATAATTAGAAAGATGTTAGATTTACCTGTTTTTGTATCAGTGAGATTTACATTAAGAATAAGTTACAGTAAACTGATCCATATGCATTTTTTATCGTTTGTTTTTATACACATGAAGTAAACAAAGCAAGAAAAAAAATATTCGATGAACCTGCATATATAATGGTAATAATGAATAACCAGATCTAAATACACATTTTAACAGCATTTATTGGTATTGGTACAAAACACGTGTATATTGAACTACTGACAATGGACTTCGAGACTTGGAAGCTATAGACAATATTATTATTCATATTGAGATCATTGTTATGCATGATTGATTGTATGCATACATAAAATTACATTATTATCGTTTTATGTGTATGCTAATCGTAGAATCTTTCTTCTTGTTTTATTTACTTCATCTGTATAAAAGCAAAGAATAAAAACTGCATATGAATGAATTTAAAACACTCTATCAATTAAAAAGCTGAAAATTCCGAATAATATAGCTAACAAAACCGATTAAACAAGTCTATCCATTAGCCACTTCTTAAAAGTAAAGGAAAAATAATACCAAAGTATATAATTAGAAAAGTTTATGTAAAACCTTATGTTTGAGAAACTATCCTGTATAACAGATGTAGCATGATAAATTAATATTTCTCCAAGCTTTAAGAATGCAGCAACATACAAACCACATATCGTATACTAGTTCAAGAAGGCGTAGCTTAATGTCAAATAATGACCAATGGCATTTGTGTATCATAAAAGTGTTTTTATAGTTAAATGGAAACAATGACTTACCATCAGGAACTCTTTTTTGTGATTTTCTTCTACGTGGGATGTAAGGGCAGCCCTTGTTTATGGGACCCAATTCATCCATATTAAGAATACTTGTGACATTGTCAAACTTGCACACTAGACGACGCCTAAAAATAAATGAAAAATCATGCTATATATTTCTTCACATTAAAATATATATCGAATTATGTGATATACTTCAAAACAGAATAAAATTATATAGTGCTTACTCAGATATTATGAACTATCAAGAAAAAAAAATAGAATTTTAAGCCTTGTACTTTATTTATAATTATATAAATCAAGTTTGAAGCGTGCAGAACTTCGGACTTTGTCAACACAAAATTATCTATTTAAAACTAGTTCAAACCAAAATTTCGACATGTAAAGACTTACGGCTTCTGGTGCCCGTCTATTATCAAAACACGAGAACAATTACCACATTTACATTCTCCAAATAATTCTTGATGATTACACCAAAAAACAACAAAAAGATGATATATCCAATTCAGGTGACGTTCAATAAATACAGCTCGTTCTGATTGTGTGCCTTTCATTTTGGTTCGACCTTCATTCATTGCATATGGAAAAGCTAATTCGGTTTCTTTACTTGTCATGAACACAAAATTGGTTAGCTCATAATATAACCATGCGGATTGTAAATTTCGAGCTAAATTTTCGGTTGTAATGGTATTCTTGATTTCAGAATTTAATCTATTAATGGTTTTAATTGTAGCAGAAGCAAATCCATGGAAAGTAACGTAATCATCGATTAGATGTGAAGAAAATGAAATAAGAAATTCTTTTGAAAAGACGAGTGATCCGGAAAAATGTATAAAGTCACTTTTTTGTGATTCTAGTGTTACAATTGTTGTTTTTTGATTCATTGAATAAATGGATGATACACGATAAGATCGTCGACAATCATGGCAATCAGCTTTGTAAATTAAACATGGTTCAATTTTGCTGCAATATATAACATTTGCAGATGCTTGAAAAGTAATTTTTAATTTTTCATGACATCGACTGCAGATGGTTCGATGTGGAAAAAGAAATAGTGATGTGAAATTTTTAGCGAATGCTGATTGAGGTTGCAGATTTTTGAATTCATTAAGATAATACTCTATTCTATCGATTGTAAAACTGAAGTCTAATTGTTCTTGTATACAGTTGTTGCCCATTAAAATATTATGAGCAACAAGAATTTCATTACAAGAATAATCAATGTTTGTTTCTTTTTTTAAAATGAACGATATAAATTCTAGCCGTTCTTCACTTGTACTGGGAGGAGGCAAAGGATAAACATAACTTGCCGGTACTAAACGTTCCACATTGATGATGATAGTAGCAGCTTTGATTGATCTTTTCTTTTCATCAGGAAATGCCCACGCAAGACGTTGACAAATAGTCTCAATTATTGACATCTATAACTAAAAGAAGCTATAAAACTATTGGCATTAAATAAACATAATCTATATAAGGAATAGGAAAGAATCTGATTTTAATAAATAATCTTAACAGCACGGGCGGATCTATGGGAGCGTGACCGCATCCCTTCGAACAAAAAAGTTCCACTTTTTCCTAATATAAGTGACTGCTTTCGCATTTTGCACCTACCTTAAAAGCGTTCCTAACTATACTGCACTCCTTCCGCGCTCTCTTAGAAAACTTTTCGGATCCGCCACTGCTTAACATGCCGCAAGCTAACCTGTAAAATGAAGCATAAAAAGAAATTTGAATGAAAATAAGTAAGAACCTTGGTTTTGTTGATACGATGAAAGATAGTCTACTAATAATTTCATACTAAAATAACTCTGTTAACATAGCTGCGTACTGCTTTTATCCAAATCTTTAGCACAAAATATTATACGCCTCTTTAATGTAAATAACTGCTGTTAAAGTTTTTCTTTCTTTTTCTTTTCTTTTGTTCTTTTTTCTCACTGGTTGTGTTAATTGTTAACCCTTTTTAGGAACAATAAATCTACATATTGACAAAAAAATAGTTTCCTAATAATTAAACAAGGTTGACTATTGTTTAAGAGAAATGAGCTGAAAAGATTATATGTTCCAAAAAATGTTCCATTCCAATTACTGTTTAGATGTATTAGTAGTTTTCTAAATCCATAACTAAAAAGAAGATATACTGAAAAAAATTCTGAATTTTGATTCAAGAACTAAATGTATATAAGGTTGTTAAAAAGAAATTTGAGTATTTATCGATGAAGAGAGAGTATACAATATTCTGATTAATAAATCCGATATTACGAGCTTTAGCTTATGTTAAAATACGATCAGCTAATTATTAAACATGTGTTGAGAAACGTCCTAATGCTTTTTTAATGTTCTAACAACATCATTTCTGAATGACAATCGAAAGAAAAGATGATTTTCAATCTCTGTATACAATGCTTTATTGTAATCACGCTTTCAATAGTTAAGTCAAAAAAAATATAGAGTAAAATTCGAAAAAAAAAATTCACTTTAAGCTAATAGAATCTATGTACCAAGGTAATGTTACATGTCAGTAATGAGAAAAAGAACAAAAAATAGAATCATATATACATAAAAATACAAAAATAAAATTCAAATAAAAAAGTATCGAAAATAGTTGATTGTCAACTTAATCTTCACGAACTTTTAATTTTCGTTGACGTTTGACTGGTATATTAGTACCACAAATGATTGAAGTTTGCACTTGTAATTCTTCAATTTTCTTTCGTTTTGTGGATTTCGATCGTTCAAGTCTTTCTTTTTGTTGTTTTTGAAACTGATCTATATCTAGCAGCAGTATGAATCAACTATGGTTAAATATTCATTTAGTAACAATTCGAAACTTACGGAAATTAGAAGTGGTTTGTAACAATGTACTTTTCACATAAATAAATTTTTGATCAATTTCAAAATTATCTTTGAACCATTCATCATTTTTTATTTGTTCTTCTAATACATTACTGAATAAATATGATTGATTAATTAATTTACCATCAATACGACGTTTATTATCCCGATTAGGATTCAATGCATATTTGTATTCCTCAATCGGAATACCTAATTCAGCTAAGCTTACAGAGACTGACAGATCAGCAGGACTTCCTTTTAAATAGCCACTAACTAATGTTCCTTTAGCATCTCGAAACCAATTGCCTTTCATTAATAATTGTTTGCAAACAAGAAAATCAATCAACTTGAATCGAGACTGTTCATCAAATAGCTTCGACGGTATCATTTTGAATAAGTCAGTATGGGTACCAACGATAAACTGACGTTTGATCAATATTGATTTCCAAACAGTAGAAGATTTTGGATTAATTATAATGTTGTCAACTGCTAAAATATGTTCAAGATTTTTGAATTTCTTGTGAAAAATAGGGAGTCTTATTTGCTGTCACATTTAATTGATACTTTAGTCTTCCTCTATCGATAAAAATGAAATAAATGTTGCTAAGAAAAAGGTGTCATATTTTATAGAGAAACTTAACAAACCAATCAAGGATTAGTATACGTACATTTTCTCTTAGATATCTAGAAGTTCCCAGAATACATGGATTTACTGTGTATATTTATGCACTATCATCAGCATTCCTGGTACAAATACGGATCACTATTAGCAATTTTAGCTACTCGAATCTTTGAAAGTAATGAGGTGGTACTGGTGAGACTAATATATCCAAATTATTGTTGCTGATGCATCTATACTTATAATGAGGGAAAATTAAATAAAAACTAATTTCCTTTGTTGTTATTTTGATTATCAATAAACAACGAGCGAACTGTTTTGCTTTAATTGCCGATGAAGAAAAATGAATCAATCAGATGTTTTTTTTTATAGATTAGATAGAGAATTTTTTCAATCATGGTAAAAAAAATAAAGGATATATATATTGTCTGCTATCAAATTATGAATAATTCTTTCAAATCAAGGGATTAGAGAAAAAGCAAGAAATGGCTACATTATAAATCTGTTGTTTCAATCCAAGAAAAGATCTTCTTCAATTCCTTTTCTTCAAAAAGTCCAATCGGGCTGAATATATACATTTCTAAAGCATTTTCTATGTTGATACAATAGAATCGAATAAACGTTTGTTTTTACGCGATCAACTTTGACAACACAAATCTTCTCACTTAAGGAAAAAATGAAATTTTTACCATCATGTGACCATTTTTCTGACTTTGCATGTGCTGAATTTGGACGGCCTCGTTTCTTTGTTACGCACATTGGTTGACCATCAAAATCTAGAAAAATAATCAATCGAAATGAGAAAACTGAAATAATCAACTATGAAATCATTTGATAAAAATATAAAAAGATGATGATAAGAGAAGAATGATTATTTTTTAAAGTTTACTTTACATCTACATGTAAAATAAAATGCGATTAGTGAACAAAATGAAAACTCAGATCTTATAGATTTCAGCAATTTATTCATGTTTGAATACTGGCATCATAGTATAAAGATAGGAATAGAGAGAATTCACAAAAAGAATATTGTTCGACTCACTCATTGAACGTGTTTCAAGATAATTGGTAAGATTTTTCAAAACGGTGCTTTTTGAAGACATTGTTTCATTTAGTGAACGTTCTTCAGCTAGAACCAGAGAAAAAATATTAAATTAACTAAATATTGAAGTACCAGAACAAAAAAGAAATGCATAGGTACTCAATGAATGCAATCTATAAGTAAAACTACTCTCGCTTCTTCAAAGCTATTTCTTATGTACAGTTTTTTGTTTATCATCCCAATAAATGGAAAATACCTAAAACAAGCAACACTTATATACTCGAATATATAAATCATAAGATTCGAAACACTTCTTCGAAAATACCTGCGTCTCATATTTTAGAAGTTTGAATAACTTAATGAGATTTTTTTCTAAGATTTTTGAAACAACTCACTGTTTGATGAGGAGCCAAAAATCGTTGAAGGTTCGTCCTCTGCTTCTTCATGAACGTTCGAATTAAGTTCGAGATGGTCATGTTCATCTTCAAGATCGGCAGAAATTTGATCAACATTGAAATCTTTAAAGAAAAGTGAATTAATAAATTATTTCCAATATTCAACTATTGCGTTATATTCATTACTTTCATTCGTATAATTGCTTGATGTATCAATATTTTCTACAAAAGCAGAAGTCTGGTAGAAACAATCAAGAAAACCAACTTACCATTATCATGTGTTGCATTGTGAACCTTTTCTATAGTTGTTTTTATTGGTTCAACTAAATTGTGAAAATAAAATGCTGATGATGTGATAGTAATGACACAAAAGAAAACTAACTTAGACTTGATGGATTATCCATGTCGATTGATGATGCTGTTTCAATATTGTCAGTTAGTAAAAGAGAAGAAGACGAATTATTACTGAGATCTGTTAAAAGAATTTTAAAAGAGAATAATGATTTTTCTTTAAAATTTAAAAAATAAAAGATCATTTAAAGAGATCGTTACATCGTCACAATGAAGTGTTGTATATTATGTAAGAAATATTGACTGCTATAAAAATGAAGAACTTTTGATTCAAGATATGAATTTATAAAGTGATCATATAAAGTTTCATTAGTATGATCGATAAAATGTACGCGAGCTCGAATGACACAATAATTTACATCGCTTTTCAGATTCCATTGTCTCAAGTAAAGGTTCTAAACCATGAATCAATTTTGACGCGTTATATTTGATTGATGAAGACGTTATCGTACGAATCTCAATTGATGCTTTTTAGCGACAATTGATAATAATTCTGTAGCAACATCCAATACATATTAATTATATTTATGAATACAATAGTAATTTAGTCTATGTAGTATACAATCATTCAGCCGAGAATTTGTACTTCTTTAATGGAGTTATACTCGAAACGTGCTATCTATTTTATGGAAAGAAGAGAACCAGAAGATAGAAAGATTTAACATAAAAAATTATGAGGTAGCAGGAATTTCAATAGAGAAGCAATTTCAGCAATAATTTATGTAATAATGATGAAATGGAAAAATCTGAATTCTCAGTTTTGTTGTACAACCTCTTTTAAAAAGAGAAAAAAATTATTTAAAATATTTTCTAACCTTTTGCTGGTAATTCATTAATGGCGATATTTCGAGGAGAATGTAACGATGAAGATGATGGTAGTAATGGTGTATTCAAAACAGAACATTCAATTACATTTGAAGACATTTCAATAAGCTGTTCGTTGTTTTTACCGTTAGTAGAAACAATATTTGGTTGTTGAACTATACAAAAGCATATTGAATAAAAATTTTCTCTAAAGAAATATTTAGGTAACAAAATTATTCTATGGCTAGAGGCAAACGATATGACGAGAGAGAAGAAAAGAATCAGAACCTTTTATTTTTTATATCCAGACGCGAAAAAAGGAAGATATTTTTGACCACATCTAGGCAAGTTACACACTGTATTACCGAAAAAATGTGACGCTATGCGTAGTGAGATTATTGGTTCTAATGGATCTAATATCAAATATTTTCTACTCTCATTTGTTAAAATAAAATTAACATAATTTTTCGAGAGTATTCTTTCCAATTAAATAATATACGTTTTTCTTAAGAAGGAAGTATTGCAAATGTTTTCGGATGAAAAAAAAATAAATCGTAAATATTACTTGATACGACACAAATAGATGATTCGAGAACAGGTTCGACACTTGATAGTATGTCATAGGAGACTGTAGCAGGATTTGCTGTTGATTTCGAATTGTCATGAAAAGTATTATTGATTGTAAACTGAATTTGATTATTATTTTTGTCCTTTGGTAAAGTAAAAATAAAATGACCATTTATGTTTAATTTATCTATAAAAAAAATAAAAGAAAATAACTCAAAAATGGGCATGATGAGGAAATGAAAAGTTATATTACAAACCTTGATTTCTCACAATTTGTCCTAGACGAATTCGTTCGTTCACCATTTCTTGAAATGATGTCAAATTAAGTTCTTCCATATAGTAATTATGGTAATATGGAACAAAATCATCGTTACATCTCATGAATTCAATTGCATATTTTGTGAATATCATTCCAAGTGGTAGACGCTGATGTTGAAAAGTATTTTCGTACATTGACATAGATAAACCTAGTCTCTAGAAGATAAAACAATCACTTGGTCAGTATATGCTGATAAAAGTATCGTATCAGGACAACTTGTTTGTGACTAAAAGATATTGAACTCACATATCTCCTTAACTGAGTTAAACTGATATGCTATATGCTAAATGAAAAATTTCTTGCAGATCATAGATTTTTTTTCGAGACGTAATTAATTAGTGGAAAATAACATGTCTTATTTACTTCTGTATATCGTATTTTATTGACGCTCTAGTTTTTACATTGCTAGCATTTGCTCATTATTTCTCTTTTTCGTATTTTTCTTTTCTTGATCTGACTTATTTATCATTTTAACTATTAGTTCGATTGGCAAGCAAGTCGGCTATGCATATTCATTCTGTTTCCAGCAGGTGTTCACACATTATTATGTATGTCTCGATTAACTCAAAAATATTAATATTCACTGTTTATCAATTCGATAAACTGATCACCTAAGGCTATTCATGATGAGCATATGATTTTTGTCACAGTGTATGACTAGTCATCATTGGTGACATCGTGAACATAAATTTTTGCTTGGATAAACTGCGGGATTGCACTATTCAGAACATTAAAAAGCATATCCTAGCCGTTTGATTTCTGAAAAAGGCGTTGAAATGTTCTAGAGTTGGTGAACTCTTACTATTGATGTCGTCTAGCTCCTTTTCTCATGGGTAAGAAGCCCTGAGCAATCAACTTGACGTCCGCTCCTCGCAACTGCAAAGTTTTGTGATAGAGTGAGCGATAATTGAGATTTGAAAAAAGATGACTCAAAACTCGCACTGATGTTTATTTCCGTAAGTATAAGTGTGCCCTTACAGTACTGTTGTAAATATAAAAAACATTAAACCAAAAACAAAAAATTCGACAAGTGAAATAAACTATGGTTACATTTTCTGAAAGAAAATTAAAGAAATTGATGCGAAAATGAAGAAAATCTCTTTTAGTAGAGTAAACAACTGTTAGTTCTTCATTATTAGATGCATTGCTCTTCTGAAGAAGGCGTACACGTTTTGTAGTTTTTTTTCGCTCCGTGATATTATACAATTACAAAATTGTCTTCTACTTGTACATCGATCACACATTCTCATAAGGTTCTCTTTTTCTATCACTGCCTACATTATGATAACATTTCAGATTGCTACAATTTTCGTCTTTTTGATTACAATTGATTTTTCTTTGTACTCTTTGCTCTCCCTTCTATGTATATAAATATATATATATGTGCATCTGTTAATTTGTAAAACTGATATATTTGTTAAAAGAAAAGTGCACGTAAAACCACATTTTATCATGAAATTGTTTTTGTAGTCTATTGTCTTTGTCGAAGTTTCCAATCAATCAAATCTGTGTCATACAGAATGTTGATTGGTTTTTATGTTCAACTATTATGACGTCTCTAACGACTAGTATATCAAAACTAAGAACACATATAGCAACAATATTTATACTTGTTTCATATTTTTTTCTCTCATAATTCACGGAAGTAGCAAATAATTCATAGTTGAAAATTAGACCTAGTTCTAATGTAAAATGAACACTGTTAATATTACAATTAAATCAAAATGCTCTCTCTTTTATTTTTACTGTTGTATAAGTTTAAAAGTATACTACAACTAAAGTTTATTTTCTATTTCCAAAAGCTATATAGGCTAAAGTGTTCTTATATACTTGATGACTTCTTTAATAGAGAAAAAAGCAATAGAGTTCTTTATTAACTAGAAGCTCTTGGGTAAGAAAACACTATCTACCATCGTATTTCCAGAAAAGAGCAATAAAATTTACCTCAAATGCTTCTTTTAATTTTGGAGTGTTTTGAATAACTGCAGGAATTTGTTTGCAAAAAGATTGAGAAATCGTGCTCTCATTATTTTTACGACTACCTTTGAGAAAATTACCACCAATTAACAAACCATTTTCGATTAAAGGTGTAAGAATTTGTTCAGGCTTCAAATCACTTGAATGACAAAATTGACCAGAACCTTCACCTTTTCCTTTGTTTGTTAAATATTGACGACTGAAAAAAACTACCGAATAATTCATTACTTTTGCCATGGCTTTTTCCAGTTTGATTTGTTCATGAGATCTAAAAGCAAACAGTACATCAATAAATATATGTGACTATTTAGACTTTATAATTAAGAGTTCTATTAATTATAGACGAAAAAGAAACGACATTAATTGATGATTCTCATTTCATTTATATAAAATAAATTACTCTTCTGTTTTAAAAAGTTCAGAAATCTAATATAGTGATATTTAACGTAGTCTATATAGATTTTGCTCAAATGTATCCCCATTATTCAGATAAGAAATCAAAACATCATATTAAAAGAAGGATTCATGCGAAAATTATGATTTAATTTGTTTGACATGGAAAGACTCACTTTTGTTCTGTTGTATATTTTCCCAATCGTTTTTCAATAACATAAGACAACGGTTTGAAAGTAAGAAGTGTGTCCATTACCAGCATCTTGCGTGTATACCAATAATAACCAGCAATTACGTCATCGTTGGTCGACCACATGATCCATTTTTTTTCTTCAATTCGTTTACATTCTTTTGATAAAAATTCTTCTATTGATGTCTTAATAGAATCTTGAAATTTATTATCAATACAAGCATGTTTCAATATACATCTATCACCTTGTCTTTGGTCAATTACATTTAAATTTTTGCTCATAAGTCGAAAGAGAATCCGAATAATTTCTATTGACCAGATGCATTTAGGCAACATATTGATGACCTTTCGATGGATTGATTTTAAATGAGGCTCGGTGGTATTTGATGCTTTCCACCAGTCTCGCTGCAATGTTTGATGAAGTTTAAATGATGACATATTTTGATCAGTTTCATTATCATATGTAGAAATACCAGCCGTACAAACATCATCTTCATTCATCGAAACTGAATAAGTAGAAGGAGTTTTTACTCCCTGCTTTTGTCTTTCTTCTAACAAACGATCTTCAAATTCACTATCTATGAAAAGACGAAATAAAGTTTTGTGCTGAATTATAAGACTAAGCTCAACTATTGTTTAATTTTGAAAAAAAAACCTATTTTAGCTCATTATGTTCGAATCTTTATGAATTACTCTATAAACTTGAAGTCCAGCATGTAATGCAGTTATTATACTATAGTATTTGAATATATTTCTTTCGAATAATCTGGTGCCTGAAGAGTAGCCTTAGTATCAATAATTGACCATTCTTTCAGCTCGCCAACATTCTGGACGACTGCATTTCGAAAAATGAAATTATCTCTTTTCTTGCATATCTTACATGATTTGTCTTACTGTTCATATATATATATATATATGGATATATTTGTGTATTACCTTGGAATATAAGTCCTGCAGAGTTTTTTGGTTTTTATGAGCGTGTTAGGCCTTATATTTCGTGAATATGAGCAAATATAAGTCTAAAATTTCTAGTGTAGATGAAACTCACAAAGTCCTATAAATTCTGAAAATTTCAGACTTATACTTCTTCCTAGCCACAAGATATAAGACGTAAAATTTCTCTAAAAAATAAAAAAATGTGCAAAACTTATAATACATATATACATATAAACATATATATTTATATATATAGTCTACTTCCAAAGTATTTAAGTGTAATATACGATGATAATTTATACTTTTATTTACGCACAATTTTTTTTTTCAATCAATACGCTTTGCTCATAAATGGACGTGGACCTTGTGTTGATATTTATGACTGACTGCATAATTAATAGCAATACGCACAATATTGCTATTACCAATAATTCTATATGATGATTATTGATTAATCGTATATATATATATAATAGATTAACTGTTTTCCTCAATCCAAAATGATTCTAATATAATAATGTAATGTATAGTTATATTCAACTAACAAATATAGAATAAAAGAGTGAACTTTACATTTTCACAAATAAAATAAAAGCATGTATAGGAAACATGAAAAAACTCTACATCTTCCTACAATGAAGAGAAAATAAATAGAAAACAGTCACAAGCTCTTCATCATCCACATTGTAATAAAAAGTATGCAAAAAATATTAGCAAACTGTCTCTTGCTAAATTAAGTGCAAGATATATACAAAACAAGAGCGAATTCTACAAATCTGAACTGTTCAAAAGAAAAGTGAAATAATAACTCTTATTGAAATTCGTATTACTAATTTGTTAAAATTAAAAGAAAAGAAGATAATTAATTTGCAATTGACTTTCTAGAAATGACTCGGACCATCAGATTAATGTCTTAATTTGCAATAAATTTTTTGAAAAATTTACAGAATGCAAATTTAATAATTTGAATTGCTTCTATTTGGTTAATTTAAATTGAAGAATAAAGTGAAAAAATACATAATTAATTTCACATAGCATCAGTTATCTGAAAGCAAAAAATTAGGTTTGTTTATATATATTCATTCTACTTTGTTTATATATTAATTATTTGCTTATAAAAACAATCAATAGTAAGCGATTGTTTTTCATTCATTTTTCATTATTACTTTCTTCTAGGCATCTTGTATATATAAATTGTAAACGAAAGCATATCAATCAGTTCAGCTTAAAAAATATATGAGACTGATCAACTGTGATCAGAGGACTAAGAAAAATTTTAATACGATTTCGACAGTATCAAGATACCAAAGACAGACTTCTTCTTTTCTTAATATTATTGATAATATATGAAGTTAATTAAAAATACAAAGAAAAAAAACGAGAAAGAACTTACTATCTGTTTCTGAATGAACAAGATCAGATTTATCGAGCAAATAACGAAATTCAAACTTGTTTGAAAATAAAAGTGCTGCAGCACATGAAAAATGAGAATAAGATGGAATATTAATAAATGACTTTGTTCTATTGTTAGGTAGATCACTAATGCTACGGCACCACGTATAAAAAACACGTCCATAAACACCATCTTGCTGTTTATCTTCGTAAAATTTTTGTAACATTTGTGCTACCTTGGTTCCGGTGCTGGCTACATACATGTTCAATAATGCAACTGGACGGGCAATCTTAATTTGTGAAATACCAGTACCTCGATTATAAACTCCACGAATACCATCAGATGCATCACAAAATAGACTAATTCCACCAGATGTTTCATTTTTTCCTTGTTCATAATAACCTAGTTTTGATAAAGCAACATCACCATCAGGGTGCAATAGAATAGTATTTATTTTTGAAAGATTGTTGATTAAACCAACTTCTGTACAAGTGGAAACAATCATTGAATATTCTTGTACATTATGTTTACTTTCAATTTTAATATTATTATCAATATTATCAGTGCTTGACTTCACTTCTTGTTTTACAGAATATCGTTCTGGAAATAATTGAATAACAGTACTTAATGCAAACGAAAGCTCGTGACAAATAGCACTTTTATTGGATGCTGGAAAAAAAAAGCGTAAAAAGCAAGTAAGACTAAAAAATTTATTTACCACTTTCTCCAATAATATGATGGTTTTGATTAAGAAAGCCTACGCCTTTAGTTGACGTATTATGAAAATAACAATCATCGGCTAATACACCCACAATGGAGTTTAATGCTGACAATGTTACTTCATATGAAAAACCATTTCTTTTCTGTTCTTCCAAAAAGCATAATAAGAACCAATCTTTATCTTTATTGAAAAATTCAACATCGAAAATTGGAAGACAATTTAATTGATGGAAATTTTCTTGAAGCAAACTTGCGAAATCAGAAAGGCTGGGATTGATATTAGATCGACTTGCCATCAAAATTCCATGTGATAAAAAAGAAGTCTAGAAATAAAATAAGCATATAAGTATAAGCTAGAAAACATCTTCTTTCTGATCGAACACAGATTAATATTGTGACAATATCAAAGATTATTAACGTTTGCATTTTTATAAAGATAATGTCTTAATGAGACAAATCGATCAGAGAATAGTGATGATCAGAATGAATGAAGCTTTAATATGATTAGTATTTTATAATTTCAGGCTTTCTACTTTTTTCCTCATATATAGTGTATAACTTTATTGCCGTCTTT